TTCTCCCTCTCCCTCTGCCCCTGCTGCTTCCCCTACTTGTGCTCTCTCTCTCTGTCAAATAAATAAATAAAATCTTTAAAAAAATATATAAGGAGTTACATTTAACAAAGATTTCAGTTATTTAATACACTTTAGATTACAAACTAGAAATACTGCTTAATTAAAGTATTTCTCAATGTGTTCAAAATTATTTACAAGTTTTTCTTGTATTTATCGTAACTTCGAATAGAAAAATTTAATAAAATGTAGGTCTTAATTTATGAAAACTTTAAATTAACCAATCATGTTTAATACTCTAAAATTCGTTATTCCTTGATTAGTAATTTTCTGTTAAATAATTATTCCAGGTTTATATTTAACCTTTAGTGTTATGCTTTTAACTTCATAGAACTTCATAAGAAGTTCATAAGACTTCATAAGAACGTGCAAGTTTAGTGAAGAGAATAGTGTTTTTAGACACAGTGAGAATATTTCAGTTTAGAAGGTCTTCACCTTGGATAAATAGGCACTTTTAGCTTCTGGGAGTACTTAATAAGGTGATTCTTAAATTCAGTCTGTATCCAAAGCATCTGAGGATCTTGTTAAGTCAAAAGGAAAAGGGGTTCCAACTCAGACCTGCTGACTTAACAGATTCAGAGTCTGTGAAGCTGCCTTCTTCAGCTTTCTTGGTTTTCTAATGCACATACAGGTTTGAGAGCAAATCCTTTAGAAGGTTCTTGAACCAGGAGACTTTACAGTTTCTTCCTGGTCAGTCTATCCTCTTACCTCTGCATGATTTGCTGTGAAGTTGGGAGTTACTGTGAAGGTGCACTGATACTGAGGAGCTGCTGTCTGCTCTTTTTAAAAACCCCCTAGTGTTCTGGTTGAACTGGGCTTGTTGGGCTGGAAGTCACTGACATGGTCCTGAGCTGCCAGATGCTCCTCAGGGTCATCGCTGGGTGTTTCTCCAGGTGGCCAACCTTTTTAGCCATCGCTTGAATCCAGTCTCCTCCATTACTCTTACCATCTGTACTATCTTTGGGCCTTCATGTTCATGATTTTGATATAAAATGTCACCGGTGTTTGTCCCATTCATTCCCTTCCTTGGCATTTTGGACCCACAGCAGGGGGATAGCAGGATTCCTTCAGTGGCTTCCTTTTTAGCTGAGAAGAAAGTAGGACTCCCACTCTTCTTTATGAAGCTTATAATTGGGTTCTTTTCTAAAATAACAGCATCAAGTTATTATTATTGCAAGTAATAATAAGCTACATTTATCACAAACTTATATGCTGGGCACTTTCACATTGTTACAATAACTCTATAAAGTAGGTGGTATTATTATCCCTGCTTTTGTCATTCTCTCATTCATTCATTCAGTAAATATCAGTTGAGTCTCCATTATGTGCCAAGCCACAGTGTCAGATGTTAGAATATAACGGTGATCTAAAAAAGATACAGGCGGGTAGCGGGGGGTGGGGAAAAAAAATAAATAAAAAAAAAAAAAATAAAAAAGATACAGGCCCTGTCTTCATGGAACTTACTGTTTGGAGGGGAGACAGAGAGAAATTAATAAAAATAAGTCTTCTAAATAAGTCTAAAATTCTAGTTTTGAAATCGGCAAAGAAGAAAAGTCTTTGGAGCTATGAGAGGGATTTTACCTCTTAGGGAGGTCAATTGAAGAAACAGATGAGGAAAATTAGGTGAAACCAGGATTCAGATTGGGATGGGGTATTATTACTTACAAGGGCTCATGAAAGGATGCGGGATTCCAAATCTTAACCTGTCATCAGGAATCAGATGGGTGATAGACTTTGATAGATAGAGGATATATATCTTTTTTCCCTTCTTTGGGGAGAAACTAGAGAAGGGAAGTGTTTTCATGTGAGAGTAGCGGTTGGTAAAAAGGACTTGGATGCTGCTACTAGTCTTCTGAGAAAAATCTGGTATGAATACAAGTAAAATTTTCAGTGAAATTTTTCAGTGGCACTTAATAAAAAGAAAAAACTGATATTTTAGGCGCTTTATTCCCATCCGTAGGGTCCAAGCCCTTACTCACCTCAGACGAGGTTTTCTGTGTGTGGCGTGGGCATTTAACAAATTCTGCCTTGGGCTGGTAGAAAGACCAGGTCAACCAAGGCACTTTGGATGGTGTCCCAAAAGTCATCATACTGAAGCAGATTGGCTGTTCTTCTCCTCTTTAATGTTTGCCCTGACACAAACACCTCGAGCTGCAATGCACTTATTAGTTTTCAGCAACATCTCTCTTGGCCGAGTGTATCACTCTGCAGATGGTTTCACTTGTTTGCGATTGCTGAGCCAGATGTCGTCAGCAGTTGGACTGTGTGGCTCTTCAGTCAGTCGTGTTTGGCAGCCTTTGGTTTGCCGCTCTCAGAAGCAAGATTCTCTACCAGCCCTTCTTGCTTTTGCCATCTGAAAGGACAACAGGAACTCACGTAACAGTGCTCCGATCCTTTCACGTTGTAGGCAGACTTCTTTCCATAACCACACTGGGCTCTTTCTGCTCCAAACAAAAAGCTCTTGCCACCTATTCATTGTAGAAAACTGTTTATTTTAAAGGAGATGAAACGCCCTTGGTGCACAGATCCTTTGATGCTCACGTTGTGCACAACAGGGTGCGTGAACAAGGTAGTGTCACAGAATTTTCCAAGGCTTGGGATTCTCGCCAGGTGGCCACAGAAAACACAAAATGTGCTCCAAGTACATTCTGGAGAACAAAGGGAAGGACTCTCCCTACTGGTCTTCTTTTTCTAAAACCAGATGAAGAGAAGATTGCTAAAGACTTGGCGGTGGTCTCCTGCTTAAGTGGTCAAGTTTTCAGTTTCTTTTTCAGTTCCTGGCTTTCAGCTGGAAAGCTCAGGGCTGTCAACTTCTGAGAAAATGAAAAATGCGATTCAGTTTGGAATCACCCCTAGTACACAGCATTGCCCACTGAAAGGGCATCCAGGTTGTACTTGTTGCAAATCTGTGGACACAGGGCTGACACATTGTAGGCGTTTCATGTCAAGTGAATGCATTGTTAAATCATTATTCCTCATATGGTCGAAAATTTTAAGACTTTCATACCTGTAAGGAGAGGATTACCCGTTTTGTAATAATTTCCTATGAGACTGTTTACTTCAACTAAGCAGTAAGTATTCAGAATCACACTTGGCAGTTTTAATTTTCATTGAAGAGAGTTTGCCTACAGCTTTAGGTTTTTCCTAAAGGGTGTTCTTCCTTCCATCCTTTCCTCTTTGCTGTAGGTTTTTGGGCCCGGCTAGAAGCGGCATGGCCCTTATGGAAGTGAACCTCCTCAGTGGTTTCACCTTGCCTTCCAATGCAATTCCTCTGAGCGAGACTGTGAAGAAAGTAGAACATGATCATGGAAAAGTCAACTTATATTTAGATTCTGTAAGTTGTAAGACGTAAGTTTCACGTAAGTGACTGGTGACAAAATGCCATTTATTGTCTTGGAAAGTCTGCCTTACTCTGGGCCTATTTACTTTGTCTTTATTTCAGCTTTTTGTGTCCCCGAATGACCCTAACAGGGCAACCTAATGTTTATCCCCACTAAAAAGACATCACTGTAAAATCAACTTAAAGAGAATACTGTTAATGATGAGCCTGATGAAAGTCTTGATAACTAAATCAGTATTTCATGCCAGATGTATAAACTATGTAGAAACTGTAACATTGTAATTTCAGAAATTTGATCCAGGTCTCAGTTTGAGGACTGCTCTGCCTCAGGGAATTGCTAAAATTATCTTTTTTTTTTTTTTAAATTTATTTGTTTGAGAGAGAGAGAGCCCAGGCAGGGGGAGCTGCAGGCAGAGGGAGAAGCAGGTAGGTTCCCCACTGAGCAGGGAGCCCGACGCGGGGCTCGATTCCAGGACCCTGAGATCATGACCTGAGCCGAAGGCAGATGCTTAACCGACTGAGCCACCCAGGCATCCCTAAAATTATCTCTTTAAATGCTGATGATAAAAGCTTTAATTACAAGTTTTAAAATGCTTTCATGGAATTTTTAATAAATCCCAAAGGGGTTAATATTTTTCCAATGAATATATTAGGTGCTTAAATCATAGAAGAATATTCTCAGAGGTTTGATTATTATATAATTTTCATATAATCTTCTCATTGTTTTATGAAAATTACTGATCCAAGAATAAGGTGCATAAAATATGTGAGAGAAACGTAAGTGAAGAATTTGACTGTACTTGTTATGTCCCAAAACTGCTGGCATATAATTTATTCTTTTTTTCTAACATCTATATGAAACTCTTAGATTGAATCGAATTGAGTTCTAAGTGTTCTTAGGATTTCATAGTATGTTGAGGGAATTCCCTATGTTTCTTATTCTAGTTTTGCCAAGTATGAATCAGAAATATATTGCCTTAGCAATATATATATATACTTTAAGAAAACTAGTTCCTGGATGTTCTCATTTGTTTTAAGACTTTAAAAACCCTCTGGCCAAAACCCTGTTAAAACTCATCCAAAGTCTCTAGCTTCTTTTTCAGTTCAAGAGTTTTCATTTATGACATACCGCTTGAATACCATGGGCTTGATTTGGAACATGAAAAACAAGTTTAAGGTTTTTATTTAATAATGCAATTGGTTTTTGGAGTTTGTCCTGTATCTATGATGTACATTTATTTATTTATTTATGTGATGTACTTGTTAATGGTTATCTAAATTCGAGTGTTCAGTATGTTCTGACTAATTTGACTTTTCATTTACTACTATTGGCAAGTAATGGAATATTTGAAGGAATTTATCAATTTCAGATTCCTTTAACAATATTGGTTGTCACATTGGCCCCTCCTGGAGGCAAGGAGCTGGCCTTTTGTACCCCAAATCAGTTTTGGGTTGGGGGTGCAACCCCCACCTGGGGTTACCTCACTTACCAGGTGAGGTTGCTCCCGTGAGCTTTGAGTTCTTCAAAGAAGGGGGCTGTCGTGAGCTATCAGCAGCAACCGAGGTGGGCACCTTGTGTGAAATGGGGACTGAGTGAAGCACCAGGGCTCAGGAACATGCATCCTTGGACTTGCTGCTTACTTAACCCCTCTGATTCTCAGTATTGCTTTTGGTAAAATGGAAGCGAGAACAATATCTTTCTTGTAAGAATTGTTTTACCTGTTAAATGAGATAATTTATATAAAGTGCTTACCATAACATGGGGCATGTAGAAATCCTCCCTAAATATTAGTTTCTATCTGTTTTCTAAAATGATAAGAAAAAGAAATGTCTTTTGCTTTATCGTGAACACATTGTCTGTCACCCACCTTAGGAGTTTTTTGTCTTTTTCAAGGTAAACGAAACCCAGATTTGTGTGGATATTCCTGCTGTGAGAAACTTTAAAGTTTCCAATACACAAGATGCTTTGGTGTCCATCATGGATTACTATGAACCAAGTAAGTGTGTTCTAGAGTTTCTAACACTTTAGAAGTTAAGCCAAGCCTTCATTCATTTTATTCATTCATTCATTTATTTGCAGTGGCCACCTGTCTTGTGTGTGGGGAGGGTTGTTGGGGAGAGTGTAGGAAGTGGGGTGTAGGAGATGAGCTTTCCACTTAAATGAAGACAATAATTTTAAAAAGTCCCGTGATAGCACTGAGCAGATGAATACAAAAAAGTTATGTTTTTCCTAATAATTTTAGGTTTTTCCTCATGTTTTAGGTTTTTAATTCACAATTACAAAATTTACAAAGAAAAACTGACATAACTGTGAGTCTAGTTATGTGTAGTATCCAAGGTTTTGCTTCTGTTCCAACCATCCCTTCCATCTGTTTTGTTTTAAAATGGGATTTCTTCAGGAGAGAACATGAGGCTCATTTGCAGTGTAAAAGACTGGGATGGGTTTAGCGGAGTCTGTTATCTTGCTAAAATTTATACATTATAGCAGTTTTTTTGTTTAGCAGATCAAGAAAAATATAGTTTGTTTGGAAAATAACTTGAGCTTCTTTGATTTTACTTATCACTTCTTACTTGATAAAATATTAAAAATTTAGGATGTGAAAGCAGAGATCTGGTTTGTAGATCACCCAAGTTAGTTAGGACTACTCTACACTCAGTCACAGAGTGACATTCTGTGAGTGTATGATCTCCATAATTGTAATAAGTCTTATTCTGAGTGCATACTCCTGATGGCTCAGAATCATCAGAATGCATGAGAATCGTTAACATTTTGATGTGTTCGGGAGTTGGAGATAATTACACTCTAAAGTAAAATGAACTTGTTCATGTTGTCAGTAATGTTCAATAGAGTATCATTGAAGATGAAGGTTAAGAACACCAGTTCTTTCTCCTGAGTCAACAAGCCAGTTCCTCTCATCTGCCTCCTGGTGGAATTGGGGAAGAGCATTTGCCGAGGTTCTTGTGGGAGGTTTGGGGGAAACACGGAGGGTGGCCCTTCTTTTCTGTGGAAGGATGGGATACATGGTGGAGACTCAATGGTAGCGCCCAGTTATCCAACTTTGGAATTGAAACTAGTTGTGAAATTCTCCAATTGATGTTTTTTCAGCAAATGGAGAATATTTTAAACATTCAAGAAACAAAGATTAAGTCTATGTACATTTTTTTGTGGCAAGCAACTTATTTAGGAGGGGGACATTTTCTTTTTTTTTTTTTTTAAGATTTTATTTATTTATTTGAGAGAGAGAGAATGAGAGAGAGCGAGTACGAGAAGGGGGAGGGTCAGAGGGAGAAGCAGACTCCCTGCTGAGCAGGGAGCCCCATGTGGGACTCGATCCCGGGACTCCAGGATCATGACCTGAGC